GTCCTACACAGGCCAAACGACGGGACAAGACCAACCAGGATGTCAAGCATTCTTGTCTGCAAAAAAAATAAAAAAGAACCCGGAGGACAGGTATAAAAAACAATCCTGGATGATGATTCCCACATGCAAGCACCGCCCCACTTTCCAAAAGGCCGAACAACAGGAAACAACCAACCAGGATGCCAAAACAATAAAAAAGCCCGGATGACTGGTCCTACCTGCTTAGACCGAATAACGGGACAGAACCAACCGGGATGCAGATAAGATTACCACAACAAAACAAAATACCCCAACAACGGGGAAAATTACATAAAAAATGGGATGTGCCATTTACTTTGTTTATGGGATGTGTCATTTAATTTGTTAGACTAATACGCCTTCCTTCCCTTGCCTTTCTCTAACGTTTTCTTAAATACCATAACAAATCTACCATATCCATAGTCAAAAAACCGAACCATACAGTAGGCCCCCAAAACGGAATACCCCAGCAACGGGGAAAAAATTAAAGGAAAAGAAACAAGAAAAGGAGGAATCACAAGAACAAATGTAGGAATTATTTTCTACCATAACAAAAGCAATATATCATCAAACAGAGCTTCCCAGTAAACTGTAGGCAGAGAGGGAGAAGAGGACAACCAACGAGGGGCTTGGGTTTAGCCTCCTGACGAGTCGGTGGAACACCGACGAAACAGTTTGTCACAGCCCCTTGTTTGTTGTCCTCTTCTCTCTCTCTGCCTACGATTTACCGGGCAGCTCTGTTTGACTATATATATCTGTTTATATATATCTGTTTGATGATATATAGCCTAGGTTAAGGATGTCAGAGATCATGCCTCTATTTCTGACGTGGCAAAGATCAGACTTCAGTTTCTGACGTGGCAGAGATTGCACCGATGTTTCTGACGGGGCAGAATGTGTGGTTTACGATGGAAAATGGACAGGTGAAGGTCTGGAGGATAAAGGGAGAGGAGGACTCACCTACTACTAGCAAGAAGATTGAGTGTGTGAAGGCCCTACCGCCTTGCTCAAGTGGTGTGACTGCGGTTGCGTGGTCAGCAGCAATGCCAACAGGTGATATGTCATCGGAATTTGGTGCGGCGGGCTGTAGGAACCATCTTCTGGCGGTCGGTCTTGAGAGTGGAGATATTCAGATATGGATTGGACAATCCGATACGACTTATGGATCTATGAGTTTGACGCCAGCCTGCCAAGTCAATTCCTTGTATCCTTTCCTAGTAGATTTACATCTCCTCTTCCTCGTCCTGCTTCTCCTCCTCCTCCTCGGCTGCCTTCTGCTCTCTTCTCCCATCTCCTCGTCTATCCCCACCCCCTCGTCTATTCCCGTCTTCCTTCCGTAAAGCGGGCTTCCCCCTATTGCCTCCTCCTTTTGCTGCTGGCTTTTCCTCTCCTTCCTTTTCTCTCTTTCTTATCTTCCTCCTACCACGTCTCGACTCCTCCCTCCTCTTCCTTCGGCTTTCTTCAGCACCGTCTCTTCCTTTCCGACCTCCTCCACCTCCTCCTCCTTTTCATCACTCCCTGCGGCTGGTTATTACTTCCTGTGCCGCCCTCTGCATTCTTGTTGCCACATGACACTCCTTAGCCCTCTTGTGTTTCTTCTCCTCCTCCTTGTTTTTCTGAAATTTTCTCCTATTCCTCCTCGAGTCCTTGTTCCTCGCACTCTCTTGTTGATTCTCCTGCAGCTAACCTAGGCTACCAGCCGGGCCACCCGGGTCCCGAGTGGCCAGCCTGTGCAAGGACCAGGGAAGG